TTTAGACAATCTATTCTACAAGATTTTGTCATTTGGCATTTGAAATGAATGTCATTTGAAAATGTATTTTTTTTCTTACTCTAATGTAATATTTTAACCTGATGATTATCATATTATACTCTCAAAAAATATTATTCATGATAAAATAGGTGAAAATTGTCAGCGCCTTTGCTTAGGTGAGCACCTAAGGACTTAGGTGTTAGGCACTTGTATCATCTTGGAGGAACTTAGTGGCTTTTATAACACTTAAATGCATAACATCTACCCTATCTCACATGCATAAATTTATTTTTCACCCTTTGATCTTTATATTTTACACTGCAATAATTAACTTTTTAGAGATTTTTGTTTTATGTAGTCTCCCCTTCCTTGCTTTCTACTTTTTAGCATAGAAATATGCCTAAAGTGATGGATCTAGATGGGTTAAGCATTACGAGCTAACCCTGGAAGTGGGAGGAAGCCCTAACGATATAGGATAAAAAGGGAAGATTTAGTTAAATATTGGGCAGCACATTAAGTATGATGGTTAGTGGGCATTAAAAAATGCTCTTGATGAATCTCGTGTTATTGTTGCTGGAGAATGGAGTTGTTGGGAGGTGTACCTGATAGACCTACCAAATTTGATTGGGAGGGAATTAGAAAATTTCCTAATCAAGAGGGATTTGTTTAGAAAGGTTCTTAATCAAAAGGAATTAATTAGGAGATGTTTCTTAATTGAAGTGAGCATATATGGGGGTTGATTTAGAGGTGATTAATTAGGAAATGTTTCATAAGTGAAGAAAATATATTTAGGGGCTGATTTGATGGGGATTAATTATGAAATATTTCCTAATTGAAAACGACAGATTTATGGGATGATTTGAGGGCTGATTTGGGAGGGAAATAATTAAGGAATAGGAGGGAATTAAGGGTGGGCTGTTTTGGTATTTATTATTTACTTGTTTGCTTTAAATATGAAGAGATGATTATGATTAGGGTTATGCAAATTAATCAAGTTGTTTTGGTTCTTGGAGTTTGGTGTCTTGGGCTTTAGCGACGTCTAGGGATTGGGAGAGATAGATACTCTTCTCGAATTGAGGATCAATTGTATTTTGCTATTTTTTTTTCCATTAGTTTGATTATTGCAATAAAATTACTGTTTTTCTTTGGTTTTCAATTGAAATTGTGGAGTTTTCTCGCCATTTTTTGCTTCCCCTATTAGGGTTACTTGAGATCTTCAAGTATTTCCTAACAAATTAGTATCAGAGCATAATTTGGGACCGTTTGTGGGCTATTTTCTTGAAAATCAACGGTTGTTTTCAGCCGAAGGAAGGAAAGTTTTGTTGTTTTTTGGTCTAGTTTTTTGAACCTAGAAAAATATGTGTATTGATGGCGGTCAAGAAAATGGATGCGTTGAAAGAACGCCTCGAAGGGGGGATGAGCCAAATGAAAGCGACAGTGAAAGATATAGAATTTCATCCGTGGAAGACAATTTTTTATCTCCATGAGATGGTGAAGAAGATATTAGAAAACCAAATTCAAACGGCGGTTTTAGAGACAAAGGGACTTGTAGGGAGAACTACGAATTTTAAATTTCGTAGGAGGAAAAATGATGTGGAGATCATGGAAAAAAAAGATGGAAAGTATGGAGAGAGGCGTGGTAATGGGTTGCATGAACCAAGGGGTGCTGGTTAGGAGAGAAAAAAGGGTATTATGGTAGAAAGGTGCTGATTTTGAAGAAAGGAGGGGAGAAAGCGAAGAGGGGTTTGGGTATGAGCATGGAAGGGAAGATTGGGAGACGTGGAGAGAGCCAAACACTTGGCAAAGGGGAAATTATGGAGGAATACGGGGAAACGGGGGAGAACCGAAGGTGCGGAAGCTGAAGATGCCCATTTTTGAAGGGAATGACACATATGGGTGGATTTACAAGGTGTAGAGTTATTTCACCGTCAATGGGTTGACGGAGGAAGAAAAATTGACGGCAACGGGTTTATGTTTAGAGAAGAAGGCGTTATCTTGGTTCCAATGGAGAGACATGAGGAGACCAATACGGAGTTGGAGGGCATTCAAGTAATGCTTATTGGAATGTTTTCGAACTGGCAGGGGAGGAGATTTCTATGAGCAGTTATTTGCACTAGTGCAGGACAGATCAGTGATAGATTACCGTGAGAGATTTGAGCTCTTGGCCAGTCGAGTGGAGCGACTATTGGAGACTGCTTTGGAGGGTATTTTCATGAAGGGACTCAAATCAGAGATCAAAGCCGCAGTAAGGGTCATGAGGCCTCATGACTTGGGCGAGGCATTGAAGCTGGCACAACTAGTAGAGGATCAGAAGTACCGAGAGAGGGGAGCCAGGGACAGTAGTTTAGGTGGATCTTACAAGATGACTACCACTCCTTTAGCACCCAAGGGACCTGCAACGGGCAACATTCATGAGACTCCTAGGGAGAAGTTAGTAGGAGGAAGTGGGGGAAACTTCAAAAGAATGATGGGGAGGGAGTTGCATGAGAAGAGGGCGAAGGGTCTATGCTTCAGATGTGATGAGAAGTTTACTCCATGGCACAGGTGTAGGGATCAAATTCTTCAGGTTTTCACCGTTTATGATGACGAGGAAGCAGAGGAGGGAGGTAAGAGTGAGGTAGAGGGAGAGATAGAGGACAAGCTGCAATTGGATGTGGCTGAGGTATCCTTGAATTCAATGGTAGGATTCACTCCTAATCATACCATGAAAGTGAAAGGGAAAACAATAGACACGGAGGTGGTGGTGTTGTTTGACAGTAGGGCTACCCACAATTTCATTTCCAACCAGGTTGTGAACCAATTCGGGGTGAAATTGACAGATACAAGATGTTATGGAGTGATGATGGGTACATGGAAGGTGGAGACCATACAGAGGGTTTAGGTGAGGGAGGAATTTCTCCCATTGGAGTTAGGGAGCACTGATGTCATCTTGGGTATGAAGTGGTTGCAGACCTTGGGAGACACCAAGGTCAACTAGGGGGCATTAACGATGGAGCTGGTTGTGGAAGGGAGAAGAGTAGTGATAAGGGGAGATGTAAGGCTCTCCAAAGCCATGATATCACTTAAAACCATGGTGAGGAGCATACAGGAGGTGAGGGGAGGTTATCTGGTGGAACTACACATGCTGGAGCCTAGAGGGGATCCAATTGGAGGAGGGAGGGGACGTTCCTCTTTCAGTGCAACCCTTGATTCAGCAATTCAATGAAACTTTTCAGCCACCTTAAGGATTGCCACCTTCGCGAGAACACGAGCATTCTATCATATTGAAGGAAATAGTCTAACCTATCAGTGTTCATCCGTATCATTATCCTCAAATCTAGAAGGATGCGATCGAGAGATTGGTCAGGGAGATGCTGGAGGCAGGGATCATTCGACCTAGTGTCAGTTCATTTTTTAGTCCAGTGTTACTATTCAAGTGCTTCAACAATAGTTTTCTTTATTTCACCTTGAGGACAATGTGACACTTTGGGAGGGAAGTATTGATATACCGGTCAAATTTGATTGGGAGGGAATTAGAAAATTTCCTAATCAAGAGGGAGTTGTTTAGGAAAGTTTTTAATCAAAATGAATTAATTAGGAGATGTTTCCTAATTGAAGAGAGCATATATGAGGGCTGATTTAGTGGGGATTAATAAGGAAATATTTCCTAATTGAATAGGACATATTTAGGGGCTGATTATGGGGCTGATTTGGGGGTGATTAATTAGGAAATATTTCCTAATTGAATAGGGCAGTTTTATGGGATGATTTGAGGGTTGATTTATGAGGGAAATAATTAAGGGAATAGGAGAGAATTAGGGGAGAGGTTTTTGGGTATTTGCTATTTAATTGTTTTCTTTAAATAGGAAGAGAGGATTAGGGTTAGAGTTATGCAAATTATTTGTGTTGTTCTTGTTTTTGGAGTTTGGTGTCTTGGGCTCTAGCGGCGTCTAGGGATTGGGAGAGGCAGATCCTCCTCTCGAATTGAGGATCAATTGTATCTTGCTATTTTTCTTCCGTTAGTTTGATTCTTGCAATAAAACTACTGTTTTTCTTTGATTTTCAATTGAATTTGTGGAGTTTTCTCACTGTTTTTGTTTCTTCTGTTAGGGTTTATTCGAGATCTTCAAATATTTTCTAACAGTACCCAATCATGAATATAAGTTGCTGCCTGTGTAGTAACCACAATAATTGAACTTATCATTATTGTAGATGTGTAGCACTGCATAATTACATACTATGGATTTTGTTAAGGAATAAATATTCAATAAAGTGTTGTATCCAATAATAAATATTATTATTTTAGTTATCATGAAAATTTTAGTACTACAAAGCTAATCCCTAATTGAGTAACGCTTTTCTCCCTAAATAAGTTCACATATAAATCATTCCGGTGCATCCATCAGCATGCATGAAATACTTTCACATTATATATGAGACATATAAGCATCCGCATCATTTCCGTATAACAAATCAATAAGACCCTATAACTTTTGGGATTTTATTTTGGCAGTGTAGCATTATTACTTTATCTAATACTTTCCTTTTTCCATACTGTAAACAGATTATTTTTTGACAGATTAATTGAGATTCGATCTTTGGTTTGTAGGTAGATTATTTTTTCATATCTGCTTAAAAATGCTTGCACCTTTTTTATAAACTCATCCCAAACCTGAATGGATAATCGCGAACATTTCATATTGTAAATCAAAAGCTTTCTTGTTAGCCAAAACTTTAAGGTTATATTCCCAAGCCATTTTTGGGAAATTTATGCTCTTTGCATTGTGTGATACTTCTATCCTGATTCAGGGTGGTAGATTATTACTCCATGGTGTTATTTGGAGTCTAACAGGTTTCTCTTGAAACTAGATATAATGTTTTATTGGAAAGAAATGTGGTTTTCAGAAATTCCATTCATTTTTCAAAATAGCTTGTCTTTTCATGTGGTCGTATTTTTTGTTTTCTTGTCTTCTTGGGTAGCTTTAGTGACTTTTTAATTGGGATTATGTATCTTTCAACAGCTGGTCCTGCCAAGGAGTGGAAACCTAAGTCAACTATTGTGAACACTTCTACAGTTCCTGGAGTTTTCACGACCTCTGCTGTTGACTTTCGCATAGGGGAAGCCGTTAACCCCATGGTTATAGACAATGCTACAAAAATACAAAAGAAGTTAGAGGACCTGCTCGTTTCAGACACTATACATGTCATTATTCCAGATCATTTACAGGTTTCTGAGTCTGAAAGAAGTGGCTTGAGTTTTGGAAGTTTTGATTCCAACTTTAGTTTGTCTATGAGGTTTAAAAATGAACCTGATCGGGAAGAAATATCAAGAGAATCATCAGAGTCATCAGGAGAGATTGAGGAGAATACTGAGGCACTTCCATCAAGGTAAGATGCATTGATTTCTTTTGCTTCAAATAAAATTTTTAATAAAATTTTCCATGGTTATTGATTGAATGCTTTTTTATTTGGAGTCTTTTATTATGTGACAATATGCTGCTTGATATGCGCTTTGCCTTTGGTGTCCAGGATACAAACGCATAGTCATGACCCTTATGTTTTTGTGCTAGTAAAACCTTATCTTTCTTGGAAGCTCAAAGTCATGTATATATATATATATATATATTATTGGCCAAATTTAAAAAGAATGTTGCATAGATGATATCACAATACAAAACTTATCAAATGAAAAAAGAAAATAAATAATACTAGGTTATAAACACCTTTACCTATTCCTTGTAAATCTTATGAATATGTTAGTATTGTTTTTGCGTTAGGACTACCACAAAAACATAGGAAATATGATTTTTTCTTTTCATGATAAATCTTATCTCACTTTATTCTATGTAATAGAAGTGTTGATGGACATACAGACAAATTGTATCTCAAATAGGTTGTCATTGCGTGGTTTGTAAGAGCAAAGGAATTAATGAGTAATTTTTGAAGAACAATAAGGATATGACAAGTCAATTAATATTTTTAATTGCTCATCACTCACAAACTAATATATTAGCATGCGTCTTGCTAGGATATGATATTATATATGGTTAAATTTAGGTACAATTCATTCGTTAATTGATTACAGTCATGGCTTCATTTGAAAAAGTCATAGGATTTTGTTAGACCGGTCCAGTCGGTCCACGCTGGACCGGCCCAAACGCGAAATCGAAGTTCCGCCTCTGCCTCTGTCCGTGGCCGACCACACCTCAAGCCTTGGGGAGGCTGTTTTGGAAGAATTTTTGAGGGGTTTGAGAGGGAAGTTTGAATATAGGGACTGTTTAGAGATTTCCTTTTGAATTATATGCATTAAATAGTTTGTTTTTCTAGGGTTAGGGCATCTTGAATTTGGCTGAAATTTGAGATCTCTTAGATTTTAGATTTTCTTTGGGCTTTAGCGGCGTCTAGAGATCTGGGAGAGATCGATCCTCCTCTCGAATAGCGGATCAATTGTATCTTGCTATTTTTCGTTTTCCTTTCATCAAATATTTCAAATTATCTATTGTTTTCCTTTTTTTGTTTGTGGACTTTTGTGGAGAATTCTTGTTGTTTTTTAAGATTGCTAGGAAATACTTGAGATCTTTAAGTGTTTCCTATCAAATTGGTATCAGAATACGTCGATAGAAGGGGAACTAATGGCCGGAATGAAAGTGAAAATTTTGGAGGGAGAACTTGGGCAACTTTGATGAAAAGATGACTTATTTTCAAAGTTAGATTGCATCAGTCAATGAAAAGATGGAGGAAAAGTTCGCCGTGGTGGAAGACTTGTTGAAGAAATTGCTTGAAGCTAAAACCAAACCGGTGACATCAGAAGCAAAGGAAACTACCGGCGGCCATGGAAGAGATGGGAACCCTAACATGTCTAGGGGAAGAGAAAAGCCAGAAGTGGAGATCCTGGAAGGAGAAGATGGAATGCATCCTCTAGAACCACTTTCTAGGGAGGAGATGAGCATTGGCTACGCAACAAGGGGTGCTGAATTTGTAAGGCGAGGGGATGATTTCGATTGTCGGGGTGCTGATTTTGAAAGAAGAAGAGGGGATTTTGATGAATTGTTTGGGTATGGTCGCCAGAGGGAAGATCGAGACAATTGGGGAGCACCTCCATTTCGAGGAATGAAAGGTTATGGAGGATTTAGGAGAAACAGGTGTGATCCGAGGGCGAGGAAACTGAAGATGCAAATCTTTGAGGGGGGGGGGATGCACACGGGTGGATCTACAAGGTAGAAAGATATTTCGTCGTCAATGGGCTAACTGAGGAGGAGAGATTGACGGCGGCAAACCTATGTTTAGAAGGGAATGTTTTGTCTTGGTATCAGTGGAGGGACATGCGACGACGCATACGGAGTTGGAGAGAGTTCATGAATTGTTTAGTAGAACGTTTCCGAACGGGCAGGGGAGGAGACTTCTACGAGCAGTTCTTCTCCTTGACACAGAAGTGTCCAGTGACGGAGTACTGGGAGAGATTTGAGTATCTTGCTAGCCGATTGGACTGCCTTTCTGAGACTGTGCTCGAGGGAAACTTCAGAAGGGATTGACACCAGAGATCTGAGTAGCGGTTAGAGTAATGAGGCATCGTGACCTGGGAGAGGCTATGGAGCTAGCTCAATTGGTAGAAGATCAGAGGCACTTGGAGGGAGAGACGGGAGGCGACAGCTCAGGAGGCTCGTATGGGATGACCACCACTTTATTGAAATCCAAGGAGCCAACATCGGATACTCTTCTGGAGACTTCGAAGGAAAAGATTGCAGGAGCAAGACCTTGGGACAACTTCAAGAAGCTCACAGAGACAGAATTACATGAAAAGAGGGCGAAGGGGCTCTGTTTCAGATGTGACGAGAGGTATACGCCGGGGCACAGGTGTAAGGACCAAACTCTTCAGGTTCTTACCGTTTGTGATGAAGAAGGAATGGAGGGTGTTGTCTTTCCACCTTGCGGATAAGGTGGATCTTTGGGAGGGGAGTATTAGTAGACCGGTTAAGCCGGTCCACTCGGGTCCGACCTAGACACGAAGCCGAAGTTCCGCCTCTACCTCTGTCCGTGGCCGACCACACCGCAAGCCTTGGGGACTATTTTGGAAGAATTTTTGAGGGGTTTGAGAGGGAAGTTTGAATGTAGGGATTGTTTAGGGATTTCCTTTTGAATTGTATGCATTAAATTGTTTGTTTTTCTAGGGTTAGGGCACCTTGAATTTGGCTGAAATATTAGATCTCTTAGATTTTAGGTTTTCTTTGGGCTCTAGGGTCATCTCAAGATTTGAGAGAGAGAGATCCTCCTTAGAGGATCAATTGTATCTTGTTATTTTCCATTTTTCTTATCTACTGTTTTCCTATTTTGTGTGGACTTTTGTGGAGAATACTCGCTGTTTTTGAAGATTGCTAGGAAATACTTGAGATCTTCAAGTGTTTCCTATCAAATTGGTATCAGAGCACGTCGATCAAAGGGGAACCAATGGCCAGAATGAAAGTGGAAATTTTGGAGGGAGAACTTGGGTAACTCAAAGCAGATTTTGAGGAAAGATGACTTATTTTCAAAGTTAGATTGCATCCGTCAATGAAAAGATGGAGGAAAAGTTCGCCATGGTGGAATACTTGAAGCCAAAACCAAACCGGTGACATCAGAAACAAAGGAAACTACCGGCGGCCATGGAAGAGATGGGAACCCTAATACGTCTAGGGGAAGGGAAAAACCAGTAGTGGAGATCCTGGAGGGAGAAGATGGAATGACTCATTTAGAACCATTTTCTAGGAAGGAGATGAGCATTGGCTATGCAAGAAGGGGTGCTGAATTTGTAAGGTGAGGGGATGATTTCGATCGCCGGGGTGCTGATTTTGAAAGAAGAAGAGGGGATTTTGATGAATGGTTTGGATATGATCACTGGAGGGAAGATCGTGACAATTGGGGAGCACCTCCGCTTCAAGGAATGGAAGGTTATGGAGGATTTAGGGGAAATGGGTGTGACCCGATGGTGAGGAAGCTGAAGATGCCAATCTTTGAGGGGGAGGAAGCACACGGGTGGATCTACAAGGTAGAAAGATATTTCATTGTCAATGGGCTGACAAAGGAGGAGAGATTGACGGCGGCATGCCTATATTTAGAAGGGAAAGTTGTCTTGGTATCAGTGGAGGGACTTGCGACGACCCATACGGAGTTGGAGAGAGTTCAAGGATTGTTTGGTAGAACATTTTCGAACGGGCGGGGGAGGAGACTTATACGAGCAGTTCTTCGCCTTGACATATGAATGTTCAGTTGCGAAGTACCGGGAGAGATTCGAGTACCTTGCTAGCCGATTGGACTGCCTTTCTCAGATTGTGCTAGAGGGAAACTTCATGAAGGGACTGACACCAGAGATCCGAGCAGCGGTTAGAGTAATGAGGTCTCGTGACTTGGGAGAGGCTATGGAGCTAACTCAATTGGTAGAAGATCAGAGGCAGTTGGAGGGAGAGACAGGAGGCGGTAACTCAGGAGGCTCGTACGGGATGATCACCACTTTATTGAAATCCAAGGAGCCAACATCGGATACTCTTTGGGGGACTTCGAAGGAAAAGACTGCAGGAGCAAGACTTAGGGACAATTTCAAGAAGCTCACAGAGACAAAATTACATGAAAGAGGATGAAGGGGCTCTGTTTCAGATGTGACGAGAGGTACATGCCGGAGCAGAGGTGTAAGAACCGAACTCTTTATGTTCTTACCGTTTGTGATGAAGAAGGAATGGAGGCTGTCGTTTTTCCACATTGCGGATAAGGTGAATCTTTGGGAGGGGAGTATTGTTAAACCGGTCCAGCCGGTCCACGCGGGACCGGCCTAGACACGAAACTGAAGTTCCGCCTCTGCCTCAATCCGTGGCCGACCGCACTACAAGCCTTGGGGAGGCGGGGAGGGGGCTCTATTTTGGAAGAATTGTTTAGGGGTTTGAGAGGGAAGTTTAAATGTAGGGACTATTTAGGGATTTTCTTTTGAATTGTATGCATTAAATAGTTTGTTTTTCTAGGGTTAGGGCATCTTGAATTTGGCTGAAATTTGAGATCTCTTAGATTTTAGGTTTTCGTTGGGCTCCAGTGGCGTCTAGAGATCTGGGAGAGATCGATCCTCCTCTCGAATAGAGGATCAATTGTATCTTGCTATTTTCCATTTTCCTTTCATCAAATATTACAAATTATCTACTGTTTTCCTTTTTTTTGGACTTTTGTGGAGAATTCTCGCTATTTTTAAAGATTGATGGGAAATACTTGAGATCTTCAAGTGTTTCTGATGCGGACATCCGACGATGGACGATGTTCACAGGAACATTAAAAATCGACGGCCGAGATCACTCCGTTTTATTTTAGTTTATTAATTGTAATTTAATTTAATTTTGCAAATTTTCCCTTTTTACCATTTTATTTAAGAGTCTTGTCTTATATAAGCTCAAGGGGTAAATGTGTATTTTAAATTTTTTTAGGCCTATATATAGAGGCCCCTTCTCTTGTATTAGGTATGATGGAATTATAATAAAATTTGTGTTTTGCACTTGTGTTCTTTTGGGAGGACGTTAGTGAGATTCTTATGAGAAGGAATCAGAGTTTTCACCAGTCGTAGGATTGGTCCGGGCTCGTGGCTTGAAGCCCCTTGGAGAAGGGCAACATATCACCCGTCGGTCTTCGGAAGAGTCCAAGGCTCGCGGTTTTATCTTTTATCTTTTGTTTCTTTGTTTTTGTTCCTTCTTGTTGTTCCTAGTCGTCATCTTCATCCTCTCCCTACTTCCACCAAATCGGCCTTAGCTCCACCACCACTCACGGCTAAGCCACAAGCCGCCGGCCCTCCCCTTGGTTTCCCATCTCCACTTACCATCAAGTCTTTCCTAAATTAGTTTTCATATTTTAGGTAACTATCTTAATGATCATATTCAAATAGAATCTATTTGAATTTGAATAATTGTCTAATTTATAAATCCTATTTTAGAAAACTTACTAATACATAGCCTATTTAAATTTTGAATTAAATTGGGATGAAGTCTTTCATTCCAAATTTAATTTATTAATTTAGGAAAGCTTTAAATGCCTCATTGAACTCCCTCCTTTATTCCCTTAATTTTCTTTCAAAATTAATTTGGGAAATATTTCCTTTCAATTCCCCCAATCCAAATTTTAAATTTAAATTGTTTCCTTAAATAGGATTCTATTTTAGGAAACTCCTCCAATCTAATTCAAATTAACAAATAAATTAGATTGGAATTAATTTCCTTTCCTTAAGTTGGGATTCCCAAAGAGGCAAGTAACTAAAGCTTTCCCCAATTCCCCCTCGCCCTCTTTAAGACCACCGGCCCCCCTTCCTAACCCGCCGCCCTTTCCCCCCCTCTTGCTCTTGATTAAAGCCTACTTTTTTTTTCCATACACCCTCATTTGGGAAGCTTTGATATTACTTATTCAATTCAATTTTGAATTTTGGATAAATTCCTAAAATAGATTGATCTATTTTAGGAAAGTCTTTAAATCAAATCCCAATTAATGACCTCCACTTATGGCCTGGCCCCCCCTCCCTCCATATTCCCTCTCCAATTAATTCTCCTCAATTAATTAATTCTCTAATTGGATATCCCATTATGGGAATTAATTAATTCAAATTCCAAATCTCCCCCACCCCCATACCCGTTCTACTTCAGTTTCCTATCAGATTTCAACCAAGAAAAAAACTTATTGGCCTCATTGAACTTTTTATAATATAGAACTAGTTAATTTGCACAGTAATTATATAACATATGCACGATTTAGATGAAATATTATGTAGATTTTAGTAAGAGGTGGAATTCATATCAGATGATAAGATAATGATTTGTCTTAATCCTGAACGGCTTCTATGGGAACCTTAATAAATTAATTGCAAGAATTTGAGAGCATTTAAAGTCATAAAATATATTTAAACCAATGCATTTAAGTTAAAAATCCTAAAAGTTTTCAATAATTATTTAGTTTTAAATGTATTTGATTTGACTTTGATTATACTGTTAATGAATACCTTGGATTCTTCTCTTCTTTTATCATTTCTAAATTCCCATTTAACAATTTTTTAGACTATTGTATTAATATTGTGCTAGAAGCTAATATATTAAATGACGAAAGTATATTTATGCTTGATAGTAAATATCCAAAGCACCTTGTTTACTGACGTGACAGGCTTTTATGTGAAGAATTATGAATGACTCTATAGTAAACACAACAATTATGCTCATAATTACTTGTATCAATTGAATAATTTATCGGTGTTGAACTTTTGTAAGCCGGGAAGAATTAGTGCAAATATTAAAGACTTAAAGTCTACAATTGTTGGTAACACAAACTAGTGTATTGGGTGAATGAATTGAAAGGTCCACACATTTTATGTCATTTTAGTTGTTTGGGTGTTCTTTTAGTAGGATTTTTTATGTTTTCTCTATAATAAGACATGTCTTGATGCTTCTTATTCTATAAATAAGTTGTACCATCTAATTTTTATGGGTGAAATGATTGTTCTACACTTGATGGTGATTTGGAGTGTTAGATCTATATTTGGTTTTAGTAGATTGATATTTAGAATTACTTGTAAGATGTAGGCTGTGTATTTGGTCTCTCTATTGGGTGGCTGCAGTTCCTCAACCTCACATAATTCTGCAGGCTCTGGCTTGACGCATCATGCGGGCTTCTGTGGTTTTGTGTAATCTTGTGGGTTTTTCAACTTCCATGCAAATTATGGCTTTGTTCCTATTCAACTTTTATCAGGAATGGGCTTATGGTTTTATTCAACATTTTATAATTTCCTCAAGGATGGTAAAAAAAGAATTATTTCTAAATAAAATTCTTGATTAGATGTGCAATTCTTTCTAGTATTTTTAATCTAATTAGGATCTTGAAGATTTCTGGAAGAGTTATTTCAGGATTGATTTGATGCTCATATTTTTTTTATTGTATTTATGCTCTGTGGATATTAATTTTGTATTTGTATGTTATTTATATTTCAACTTGATACAATTGGGTTTTCTAAGATAGTATGATTTTCAATTAATTAGATGATTTTTATAATTCCAGATTTATACATATGATTTTTAGTGAATGACTTCTAAATTATCATGGGCACGAGTTTCTTTATTTTTTTTAGTTTTGTATAAGTAATGAAAGATGTTCTGATTAAGAGTTTGTAAGATGCGAAAGCGAGAGTGTTGCATTGATTTTGTGCATTTCATTATAGATTTGGATTAAGCAAATATTAGATTCTTAGATATCCTACATCATATATGTATGGATATTTGTATTATGGTTTGTTGTCTCATAAGCACATTAAAAAAAAAAGAAGACAACTGTCTCGTTTTTGAATGATATATTACATTTTGAGTCTTTTTAATTTTGAATTCCTTTTAAAATCTCGTGTTTTGTAACCGTTTTTATACTGGATACAGTACCGTAGATTCTTCCAAAGTCGCTGAAGAAAACAATTATCAAGGTGATCAACAAGCCAGCATCCCTGAAAATCAAACCGTCGGACTTGAAATTCTGTCAAGCATATCTCCTGCTGCTGAAAACGATCAATCTAAATCTGAAGGATCTTTGGCTTCTGAAGTACTTCAGCACTCCGTTATTCATACTGCACCAGTTTATTCAAACTTTGGATTGGTACCACCAATGCTTGGCAGCCATTTTTCAGCATTAGAGAGTGCAGATCCACAGGCACATGAGACCGCCCGTCTTCCTAGCTTTATTGTCAGACTTGAACCTTTAGCTTACATTATAGTCGGCATTAATTATCATGTTTGCTTTTTCGTATATGTTTTGAGCATCTATTTATTTCTTTCGCATGCTGTTTCAAGTTTATCACATTCAGTGGTACTAGACATTGATGAACCGTTTTTGCATTAATTATCAGTTGCCCCTTTTTTTGCGTTTATGGCTTTATCTGCATTAATGCATAGATTTTCAGCCCTTATTTTGGCTTTTGTTTGTCTTAATCTTTATTTTTTATATTGAATTGCACTAATCAGTAAATTATATTCACATACTGATGAGAGCGTTTTCTGTGGTGACAATTACCCTTGCATGGTCAAGCAACATTTGTTTTGGTTAACAAGGAAATTTTGTTTTTTAGTATCTTTATCTTCATGAGAGTTTGCTGCGTATAATATTTTCCTTTTGTTAACAAGGAAATGTGTTTTTTTCAGCTATGTTTCTCAAGTCTGATTTTGGAGTTTTGGCTATAATGGGTTAACAACATTTAATCTTGTTACATGTAGACCCTTTACAATTCTTCTGCTCTTTTCTGCATTTAGAGTATTACAATGTCAGAGATCTGAAATAGACATGTTAGGCATTGCTTTCTCTCCACTTAATCTTCTCTGCGACAAAATAAAAAAGAAAGGTGCAATCTGTCTGCTTTAATATTACGATTGCAAACAATTTTTAAGTCTTTTTTCGTGAATTTTAATATTTCTACTTTTCATGCGCTATCTAGCTGCCAATTTGAGTTGCCTTTTTGAAATCTTACAATCTCAACATGAAAGATTTAAATGGAAAGCAATTATGTGAACTAATAGGAATCTCTTGGTAGTTTAGCAATGAAAAAAGTTTATCATGAAGAGGTGTTTGTTGTTTAAAATGGATGGATGAAATTTTTTTTTTCTAGGTACGAATTAGGCAAAGTTAGAAACTAATGGTATGGGGGGAATAGATGGGTTTTTGCTTGATTTTGTGTCTGCTTAAGACAATTTTTGGTGATTTTGTCATATTTTCCATGTTTGGTCATCTAATATTTTGCACTTCATTACATATTTCTAAGTACTATGATAATATGCACTTTCTCAGAGGTTGTCTTTAGCTTATTATATTATTGCACTGGAGATTTTTTGTGACACTGTTTGCAATACAAATTATTTATCTGGTCTAACCTCTGAACTTTAGTCATTGTTTTGTCTTTCAGGTCCCACAACCTTTTGATCCTTCTACAAATTACTACGCTTCTATCTATAGACCTGCCATTGATGGAGATGGTCGTTTCTCCCCTCTTCTTTCCTCTGGTGCTGCTACTAAATACAATGGGACTGGAGCGGTATTATCTGCTCAAACTGGCCAAGAGGTTTGCTTTTTGGTTTACTGCTTGGCCGATATCTACTTTTTAAGTATAAAAATTATCATAAAGACGTTCATGGTGTTTGGGAGTGCCTTGACTCATATTATTAAGTTGCCCAATATATTTAAAATGTGCAATTTTTATTTTTTGTTGGTTTTGATATCTAAATGGCATGTATGATCATACCACTAATTAGGCTTTATTTGGGACAATTTTCTTATTGCTTTGTAAATTAGTTTTTTGTTTTGTTCAAAAAAAAATTTATACTAAAAATTGCTTTAGAAAACAGTAAGAAAGCTGTCCCAAATGAATCCTTAATTTCTCTACAAAACCGATTAATAAAACGATCGGACTTGGAAAGAAACTAATATGTGAAGTTCTGGAAATAAATGGCGCCTCATTCTTGAGTTGGTTTTGCATCGGGCACCTTGTGAAATGTTTTTGTTGATAACATTCTTTGGTTTTTACATTGCTTGGTAGTTCTTCCATTCGCTTCAGTTCATTTTTGTACTATTTCTGCAATTTTGATCTTTTCTTCTTTACTCTCCAGAGTGTAAGCTCATTAACTTTCTCAACTGGATCGGCTCCTCTGGTAACTCAAACTGCTGGAGTAGCGCAGTCCTCAATTGCTTCTGGCCAACATCCTGTTCCTGTTTTTAGGCAGCCTGCTGGTGTACATATATCTCATTATCCACCCAACTATGTTCACTATAGTCAGTATTTTTCGCCATGTTATGTTCCTCCACCGGCGGCCATTCACCATTTTTTAGGAAATACCGCAGCATTCCCCCAGCAGCCTCCTCCTGGAGGATTATTTCCCCTTTCTACGGCAACCGCCGGCACCAACGCTGTCAAGTATCCCATTTCTCAGTACAAGCCTGCAACTAACAGTGGCCCAACTGGTCAACCCTATGCTTTGAATCCGCTTGTTTATGGTTCTGCTGTTAGTGGTGGGAACTCAGCTGGCAGTGATGATCTTACTTCATCTCAATTCAAGGACAACAATGTGTTTATGACTGGGCAGCAGGTAATTCTATTATGCACATTTGACTTTAGTGCTAGTTATTTCTCTACAATGAACCCTTTTTCTTCTTTTAAGTGCATTTATTGCAAGTTGAATTTGATATGCATTATATGAGGGGCAAAGGTCTTACTGTTATTCCTCCAATCAAAAGCTTTAAAGTTGTTTATGAGTAAACAAGCTTCAAGTTCATAATATTTTGACGTGCATTCTTAGTCTCTTACTCCGTTTTTTGTTCTTTTTCTGGTCTAGACTTAATATTTATGTACTTCTATTAGTTGATAACTTGATATTTAGCATTTTATTATGGGGAAATTAACTGAAGGTCCATGGTTGCTCATTATTTAATTTTTAGTTCTTTGACTTTCATGTATTATTTTTTTTGTCCTACTATTTTTTTTTTCATATTTTATTAAATAATTATATTTATATCCAACACATCTTTATTTTATACCTTATATGATTATATGCTTAGCTTTATCTGCTTTCTACACTCTGTTTCTTTCTCTGAATCTGATTGTTGCCTGAAAGTATTTAGTTATTGTTTTCTTACATATGGTTATCAATGCATAACTCATAATAACAAGTTGTAATTTTCAATAACCAGATGATGCTAGACAATAATTAGATTAATGAAATCTAAGCAGTTCTTTAGGACCTTAAGCAATGTATCCGATTTTTTGAAAATTACCTTACTGTATAGTTGAGCAACTTTTTTAAGTCCTTTGACTTTCATATTTTATTTTTTAGTCGTATTTTCTGCTAGAAAATTTGTGTCCATAGAGAGATTTTTTTGCTTTGGCTCTGTATAAAGATCTTGCCTGCACACAGGAAAAAGAGAGGATTGATACGGCAGAAGCTTATTCTATCCCAGGGTGGGCCTAGGTTGGGCTGGCGGATAAGGATATAAAGAGAGGGCTGATGGGGTGGAACCTAGCAGTAAATTAATGGATTATATTAGGAGGAAATCAATTAGGAAATCCTTTCCTAATTGAATTTCAAATTGAGGAGGGAAATACTTTAGGAAGGAGGCTGATTTATGAGGGAAGGTGCTTACCTATTTAACACCGCATTCGGGAGCAGGTGCAGTGGCCCTTGCACACTCATTGTTGTATTCAGGTCATACAATGCGTAGCTTCCAAGGATCATCCAAGCATTAACTCAACATATTAAATGATTCATGTCATTATTATTTGATAAATTTTATGATGGCTGTCGACTGCGTAATGCAACGCTTCATTTTTCTCATCCAGGAATTGGGACTTGGTAATGACCGTGTTTATAATCAAAATTTATTAAAAATACAATAATTAATTGGGCTTAAACATATGAAAACCCTTGTTTTTCTCCCTAAGATTTTCTTCTCTCAAAATTCCATAAACCCCTAATGATAAAAAGATGCGAGGAAGTCACAAAAGAAGCTTATTGGAGAAGAGTAATTGCTGAAAGTGTGAAGAAGAATAGTTTATGAAGTACTTGTAGATTTAAGGTAAATCCATCCAATGATCGAATATAGTAAAGCTAGGCTTTAAAGAAAAATGGAGAAGAACTGGGATTTAAGGATCTATAGGATATAAATTTGTCATTTTTGCAGTTTGACAAGATTTAGGTTAAATCCTACTACCAATCAGCCCCTAATTGTAGGATTTAACTCGAATAAGATTTGGTAAATTTTTAAAATCCGGACTAAGTCCAATGTGGGTTAAATCTTAAAAAATAGTTTGATATACTAGGTGTTAAATTTAGCTAAATCACTTTGCCTTTTATTCAAGATTTAAGAATTTATATGATTGAGATATTTTTTTATTATTTTTTGTTTACAAGAATCTTAATTAAACTAATTAAATCATAATTATACTAGTAAACCACCTTAATTAATAATTAACCAGTAATTTAATCAGCTATATAATTAATATTGTGATAGGAAGTACTTAAATAAAATCAAGAAAACTTTTGCTAAAATCAGAGTATATTAGCCACATGAAAGCCGTTTTTTAGAAGGAAGTAGATGAACAACAACGAAACAAACTTTATTTGATGAAAGCAGAACAAATCAAGCAAGATACAATGGATCTTCAATTCGAGAGGAAGATCCAGCCCTCCCAATCCCTAGCCGGTGGCTAGAGCCCAAGCATCTAAGAGAGATATCAATTTTCAGCTAAATTTAAGATGTCATAATCCTAGGAAAACAAACTATTTAATGCATACAATCCAAAAAGAAATCTCTAAACAACCCCTACATTCATATTTCCCTCATAAATCCTTCCTATTGAGAACTATTTGATCCTTGCGTTTGAGCAGCACGCGGGGAGGGGTGTTTTGCTTCATCTCGTGAAAGCCCAGGCCGGTCCAGTTTGGACCGGAAGGATTGGTCTAACATATTTATTTTAAAAATTAAATCAATTGTTTAGTCAAAATACATGCCCGTATATATAAAATTTATTTGATTGGATATTTATAATTTTAAATGATAAAACTCATTATCAATTCTTATTTCATTGATTAATCTATAATTATGTTGATATTAATATCTTAACTACTAGTAGTTTATAAATATAAGAAAAAAAAATTATTTATTTAAATTAATGTTAATGGTTAAGATTATTTTAAAATTCATATTTATTTCTTTAATGATGCAGAGTGAAGGCTCAGCTGTCTGGATGTCTCCACCTACCCGGGATATCTCTACTTTTCAGGCTGGTTCTTTTTATAATGTTCCTCCCCAGGGACAGCCCGTTGCATTCGCTTCAGCTCAAGGTGGGCATGCTGCAGCTGCATTCACTGGTATTTACCACCCCACCCAATCTGTTGCTGGTGGATCTGTCCATCCCTTGCTCCAGCAATCCCAGCCCATCGGCGGAGCTGCCGAAATGGGCGGCCCTCCTCTTGGCATCTATCAACAGCCTCAGCGAGCTTCGCCAATTAACTGGATCAATAATTATTGAAATATTTGTTTAAAGTAGACTTTGGTTAAGCTTATATGCAGTTAGTTGCATTTGAAAACAAGGGGACTATTGGATTCAATTGTGAGGATCAACAAATTATCTACGTGAAGACCACCAAATGCATGAATGGTTGTATATAAAGAGGCATAAAAGGATGACCAGAAACATAAGCGTGATAAGAGGTCAGAATGAATTTTAGATTGTTTGAAGAAAGGTAATGAAGTTTAACTTTCACCTGATACTGATAAGTTGACCCTTTATATTGTAGTTGAGGTCGATATTCTGGTTCTACCTCTTTTGTTTGATGCTGCCTTGTAATGCTGTTAATGTTTTGCTTCATAGCCTACCTCTCTTTTTTTTCTCTCTTCCACTGTTTTAATTTAATCTCAAAGTTCATTCACTTATCCTTTTGGCTGAGCTCATACAAAACTATAACAGAAATTATTTGTGTTTTTGGTCATTCATTATGTGATCGTCTGTAAAGTAAATTTTGATAGCATATAATTGTATTGAAGACTGTTATATTTGGTATAATAGAAGCAGCAGCATCTGTTTCCAGTTTCTTTTCTTTCTGACTTGGGAGGTCTGAGTGTCTATTGAATGATAAAGATCTTAGGATTTAGAGTTCAAAGCATGGATCCTTTTGGATTCTTTCAGACTTTGAAAATCACCAGATTTAATGCTTTATAATCTTTTACAAATCTGTTTGTGCTTCTGCTACCATCAGGAATTTGGATCAGTGGTTATATTGAAGAGGTGAGAGGTTAAGGCTTCATTTTGGACGGATTTCGAACTTTTCTTAAAGCAATTTTTTTTTAAAAAAAAAATTTAATTTTCATATTAAAAAGTTGCTTTAAGAAGTAGTAAGAAAGCCATTTCAACCGAAGCCTAAGGCCTCGTTTGGGATAGCTTTCTTACTTCTTCTTAAAACAGTTTTTTAATACAAATATTTTAAAGTTAGCTTGCCTTCCTATAAGCTGCAGATGCGTAAGGCTTCATTTGGGATGATTTTATTATTGTTTCTTACAGCAGCTTTTTAGTATAAAATTTTTAAGTTTTGTATTAAAAAGTTGTTTTAAGTAGTAAGAAAGTTATCTCAAACGAAATCTAAATCTTTGAGCATGTGTGTATGTAGTGCACTATTCTTCCTGTAATATTTGAAATTATATGCTATAATCAGTTGCAGCAGATAATAGCTGACCGATTTTGCATAATTTACAGGTAGAAACAGATTATTATGGAATAGTATTTTTTAAAAAATAGCCATGATACCCTATGCTTTCAATAACTTGGTCATGAATGTAATATCTGGTATTTTTGCAATCAAATATTCTTCTCTTTAGATAAATTTGGCATGAAAATTAAACATATTTTAATTGAAATTAAAGCATCATTTTGGGATAATTATCTTGTTTTTTAAAAAAAATTTAGAAAAAAAAAATTCTTATAAAAAAAATAGTTCTAAAAATCAGCAAGAAAATTGTCCCGGTAAAAACTAAGGGATGCTAAGTTTACATAAAAAAAAGTTGTTAACAATATCAGATGGTATATATATTATGTGAACCAATTTTTTATTGAAATATCTCTTTTTCATTTTAATGTGGGTTGAAATACTTAATTTTTTTTTAGGCAATTAAATTTTGAAGAAAATGCCTATTTTTGGGGTAGGGGGAAATTAGGCAAAAAATTTAAATATTAATTTGATTAAAATTGAAAAAATGGGCATTACAAGAAGGGTGTAAACTAGTTGCGCATATGTCTAATCAATCAAGCTTGTTTAAATTTTTAATGAGCTTGAGCTCAACTTGTGCTCATTTATTGAGCTTGAATGCAGCTTGTTTAAAATTATTTTGGCTTAAGCTTGTCTCAATTACTTGAGTTTGTTTGACTCGAGAAATAATTAAAAATATTCAGTATATATTTTATTATGAAATTAATTTTGAAATATATTAAAATTTAATGAGCGGCTCGACAAGTTTACTAGCGGAGTTAAGTTGAACTCAAGCTCAAGCTTCTATAATACACGTGCTCGAGAATTGGCTCGAGCTCAAACTCGTGGTTCGATAAATTCGTCTCGTGAGTTCATTAAAGAGTCGAGATTACAGGTTTTGAAATTCCTCTGACTGCTCAAATCCTTTTCAAAACTGTTGTAATGGGAACGTAAGTAAACTCTCCAAGTCATTGAGTCTAAATGTTAGGTTAACTTAGAAATAAAGGCAAAGCAAGGCCGTGTGTAGCTAAAATTTCTTTGAATATACTATAATTTGGCAGTTCATTTTCCTGTACAAATTGATTAGAATATGTAAAATCCCTACTGGAGGCCACCAGCATTCTCCAGCTGTGATTTTCATTTCTTTAATATCTTGTCATTTTAATCTCTCCTGATTAAAGATAGTCTTACTAATCACTTTGTCAGTTGAGATTGAATCAATCCAAAGCCTTTTAAAAAGAATAATTTGTAAATTTAAGTTAAATCCCTAAACCATCTTATCCACAGATGATTCAAACTTTATGAATTTAATTAGGCTTTGTTTGAGGCAGCTCAAATTTTTCTATTTTTGATTTCTAAAACTCTTTTCTCAGCCATAGTTTCAAAACTATTTTTTCAAAAGCAACATTTTAACGCTTCATCTGGGGAGAAATTATTGTGTGCGGTCACCCAGACGGTTCAGAGGAGAATCAGGATACGCCATGTTACCATGGTACATAACGGTACACAATGTTTGTACATAGCACAAAGTAACATGGCGCGTCCTGATTCCCCTCTGGACGGCATCCAGTGACCTCATATAATAATTTCACTCATTTAGGACATCTTTCTTGCTGTTTTCTAAAACAGGTTTTTAGTACAAAAAATTTTAATCCAAAAAATATTTGTATTAGAAAATATTAAGAAAACTGCTCCAAATGAAGCTTAAAAACAAAATTTTAAAAACCAGAAACAAATTATCTTCCAAGCACATTTTTTTCTTACAAGAAAAGTAGTTAAAAAGCTGTTCCAAACAAAACTTAGACTTTATTTTTAGCATTTAAAACTGAATTATTATTACTTTGATTATTTTTCAGAGGAATCTAAAAGCTGATAATTTCGTCATATTTAGAAAATATATATTCATATTATGATGCGAGAAACAAGAGCAATGAATGAATGAATGCTCATCATTTCTTTTGGACGGAGACGTAGAAGAAATAAAAACATTAAGAACTCTAGTTGAGTGCTTTGTTCATACTGTGGTCATGAACCGAGGGAAGCTTCCTTGCAAGAACAAGCATCATGGAGTGGGATTGCTAGGTTGCGTATCAGTTAGAGATGTTGAAATTTAAGGTTACTATTATGCAATGGGAGGTAGGAGAAGATAAGGACCTCTTGTTTGGAAGAAGACATTATCCTTTTTTTTCCTTTATTTATCATAAATTTTATTCTATAAATAGGAGTGTCAAAGAAGCTAGATGTTCTTGAATGGAAAAACAATTGAATAATCTTGACCAAGTTTGGATGAATTAAGCAACAAATTTGAGAGTGTTATTGATCATTTCTAACCACTCTATCATGCATGGCAATAGTAGAGATGGACTGTTTGATAAGCTGAATGTTAGAAGTATATTATGAGGCACAGTGGCGGAATTGGCTTTATTTTTGAAGGTGGACAAAACTGGTGGCAGATGTTCAAAGAAGCGTAGGTGATAAGGGCTTTTAGTTTGTAGCAGGAGAGGCGGAGTTCAAGCAACAGTCCGTCAAGCATGAACGAGATAGGAGAAATAGTGCAAAGGAGAAATAATTAGTGGTTGGGCCTGTATGAATTGGATTTGAATTGGATGCAGGCAAAATTTTTTAAGATATGTCAAAAAAAGATTTTAGAGGCTGAAATTTTTTGAAATTGTACACACTTATAATCTTTGTGTTAAGGAACACAAAGAAGGCTTCAACAACTGGAGAGATTATTTTGTGTGGACACTGGATGGGAAGAATCGTCTAGCTTTGTCTTTATGAACAGTACAAGCGTAATGAGTTGCGCTTTTATTGTTCATAGAGACAAACCGAATGATTCTCCCCGTCTGATGCCCCCATAGAATAATTCATCCAACAAAGGTTCTATTGTTAGTTGAGAAGATTTCAATGCTAGAATTCTTATTGAGGAGTGCAGAGTCTTTCGAGATCCGTGTTGTCAAATATTATAAAATTGCTAACAAATGTTATCTTCTGAAATGGATAATGGATATTTCTCTGCTTATTTTATCTTTTGTATCTATCATTTAAGTAGTCTTCAGACTCGAAATCAAATGTTTGATCTTTGAATGTATCGATAATATTAAATTAAGTAAATTAATGTTTATTAAGATCCAATGTTTGATTTTTTTTTTTATTGATTCAAATTTTGTTTAGTCCAAATTATGAATTTGATTACTCCTACATTGAATGTAATAAAGAAATAATGAAATGATTGCTATTAATTTAAATGCAATTACCAAAATAATGAATGTGGTTACTCAGTATGATATTTTAGTGCTCTGTCATATTTTGTATTGTGTGACATCGTTTGTTAAGTTAATTTTTAGTACTTGATTGAGGGTCTGATTGAGACGGCTGTAGTTTTTTATAAAGCTGATTATAAAATTATTGGGGGGGAATGAAATTTTCTTAAAGTTGTTGTAAAAAACAGCTTTGTTAGCTTAGAAGTTTCTTGGAAGGGATGAAAAAACACTAGTCAATTAGAAATTATAATTGCCTTCTAAATATTAAAACAATAAAAAAAATTATCTCAAACAGACTCTGAGTTTTCTAAAATTATAATAAGGCCGACAATGAAGAATAATAAAATATGACTTTTTAGAATTTTGATTAGCCATTCAAAGAGACAAAATGACCCGTATATGTAATTGAAGATGAATGATTAATTTATTAAAAATCTAGTATTCAAGCTAGGAGAATTAAGAGAACTAAAAAGATTATTAAAAGTTGCAATAATTGAGTACTCATTATTGTCCTATTTCAAATGTTGGTGAGCAAACAACCATAATCATAAGAGAAATAGTATCATTGTTTGGAAATATGCCAATAAAAAGAAGACTAAAGAGATGATCACCTTTGTCAATGGTGTCTTTCTTATTCATCTTATCAATACTACACCAAAAGTTCTAAATAGTAAGCCAAAAAGCAAATTTGGCAATCATTATAAATTCAACATTAAGGAGGAAGGTTGAAATTGATGCCCATTTCTAAAATAATTGATTATTCAAATCTTCTTAGTAATAATAATAATTGTTTAGTGCTTTCTTATTTTATGAGTATTAGTATTTGTAGTGAAATTTTCTCTATACAAATGAAGCATATGGCTCACATGCACTTGAACAAGAGTAAATTAACAAAGATTAAATTTTGTATGCTTCTAAATAGATTGTCCCCAATGAGTGCAAATTAATGAAAGTCTTCCTTTATTATTATTATTTTTTGCTAAAAATGGTTGTGATTAAGGTTAGCGGTATAAGCAAGTTGAGCACAATTTGAGCTACTCCTAATTTGAACTTGAGCTTGATTAATTAAAGGAGCTCGAGCTCGAGCTTAATTTTACTAGTTTAAACTGACCGGCTTATTTATTATCAAAAAGAACAAAAAAAATGATCATGAGTTGAACAATTATAAAATAAAATGCCGAAAAAAAAAAGATAAATAAGAATAAAAATATTAAGTTACAAAAAAGAGAAACTTTATTGAGTATTAATTACTAGCTTATCATGAACCAAATTTCTTTTAAATTTTTAGAAAACTTTACATCAGCCCTATTAAGTTGCAAAGTTCACAATTCATAAGGCTAAGGAATAACTAACATGATTTCTTACTATAAAAATAAAACACTAAGGAGCTCTTTGTGAGGAATCCCAAATAGATTTTATGTTTTATTGAGCAAGTAAATGTAATAGATAATTAAGTTGAATAGAATTATTAGATATTTAATAAATTTTTATAAACTTTTTAATAATCTTTTATATTTATAAATAGTAAACATTTGGAGACATTAGAATAAATAAAAGAAAGAGATAATTTGTTTCTCCTGTAATTTCTTAAGTTGCCAGTAAACTTGAATCTGCCATTTATTTGGAGTTTTCGGCAACCTCGAATTTGTTGTTTATCACATCACCATTAGCTACAAGTAGAATTTAATTGTAGATGCATCTCATAATCAAGGGCGGAACCAGCTTTAATTTTCAGGGGAGGTAAATTTATAAATAACTGTAAGGGGTGCAAGGGGGCAGCGCCCCCTGGCGGGGTTCGACCTTTCCGGTTAGGACGCGGGGTCAAGGGGCAACGCCCCTGCGGGGGTTTCCAGGAGCAGCTCCCCCAGAACAAATTTTGGTTGTAAGAATATTTTGGAATTCAAATTTAAAATAAAATAATGAATGCATTTTACTATTTGTTTGAAGCAATTGCCTAAATATCATAGTATTTTAAAAGTTTTAGGGGGGGGGGATTGCCACCCCCCCTAAAAGAGTTTCGCCCGTGCTCATAATAGTATGTTGGTAAAGAGTTTTGACTACCAACTAACAGGCCTCAAATTCAAGTCTTACGGATATAATCTTTGTATGAATTTGTCTTAATTGACCTAAATGTCTCAAAAAAAAATTGGAGTAATTATTTATCATATAAAATCAAATTCAACTAACCATGAAGATGTTAAATGGTTAAGAATATGTTATATATTGTTAAATTTAATTAAAATTGATAAATTATTTGAAAAAAAAAACTAAAAAAAAAAGAGGAACATTTAAATGAAGTAATATAAATATCTTAAATAATATTTTCCTCAAAATTTACTAAATTTTAAATTTAGCTTAAAATAAGATTTTTTTTTTTTTTGAAGAAAAAATAAGAGAAAAATTAATATTTAAAAAGATAGTAAATTTTATGTAGGAATTAGCACAAACACAATCCGAACACATCCCTTAAAACTGTAGAAAGATAAAAGACGAAGCTCGGCGGATTTAGCAATTAGCATCAAACAGAAATTCACAAAGCCACTCCGAATTTACACAGCGAAGAAGAAAAAGAAGAGCGAGGGATAACTTAAGCAGCGCCATCACACCAATACCCTTCTATCAGCTCCCAAATCTCACTTTTCTCCGTTCAATATCCCTGCAGGTGCGACCGTGGCTCAGTGGCAACCGCTGAATTGTCGGCGGGAAGAAGGTGGGAGCGGCAGAGAGGACAAGTGGTGTTTCGGTATTCCATCCATCGCTCGACGCAGCTCTTGTGGAAGAGATGCCCACATGGAAGACGGTTCACTACCGACTCCGGCTCGAACCCGGCTAAGCAAACCCGGCAGTCACCGTGCCGGTGGTACCCGAATCGAACCGCTTTGATCCGACTCCGGAACCTCTCCGTCAGATTCTCCTCCGCCGGCGAAAACAGATTGGGGATTTCCGCCGTGCTTTCCGCCACTGCCGAATCGATCTCCGGCGTGAGGCCGAAGATGTGGAGCGCAGATCGGAAGATTTCTTTAAGGATCGAGATCGTTAGCGCGGTGTTCACAAGGAGGAGAGTGAGGACTGACTCCGATGGAGTTGGCAGGCTTGAGAGCCCCATCGTCGTTGGATCGCCGCTAGATCTAAGGAGTGATCTACTATTGAAACCCTAAATAGATCGAGAATCGGATCAACTTGTTCAAAAATTCGAAGATTAGACCAAGATCGGAGGTGGAGATGGACTCTTAGTGGGGAAGATAGGAAGATGGAGAATCCAAGAATGAAGAGCAAGCTCGGCTCACCGCCAAGCCCTTAAATAGCAGTGGATGACGCTAACATAGTAACTCAACTGAAAAAATCTGATTATTCAAGATTAGTTTTTTAATGGAGGCAATATAATAAATAATTGATTAATTATATATTACATTTACATAAAAATTAGCTTTAATAATAAAATTTATTCTATCCAAATAAGAATATTCTGGTGGTCTAAAAGAGTCGAGTTGAGCATTAGTCTTCTCTGATTTGAGCTTTAGCTTGATAAATTAATCAAGTTTAAGGCCGAATTTTTTTTTACGAGTTCGAGTCGGCTCACGAGCTAGCTCGTTCAATATAAAAGAGAGAAAATGATTATAATTTAAGAAATTTTTAAAATGAATTATAAAAAAAATGATAAAGCAGAAGAAAAATAATCAAAAATACCTTAATATAAGAAACTCAATATATTTTTTAAATATTTTTAATAACTTTGTACTTAAAATACTAAAATATTTTAAAAGCGTTTTGTATTAATATTTTTTAAACTAGTTGCCCGCTAGGTAATGAGTAGAGTTAGGGCCGGCTCAAATTTGACTCATTATCTCATCGAGCTCAACTCACGAGCTATTTATCGAGTTGAACCTGAGTCGGCTCATGAATTAGTTTGACTCAATTACAGCTAAAATTTTCTGATCCAATTTTTTTTTCTCTATACAATTATATAATCATAATGCTACTTTCACTAGAAATTTTACGACAATATATATTACAACAACAACAATAAATTTTTACTATTATGTGAGATCAGCAAAATTTATGTCAATAGATGCCGATTAAAAAAAATAATTAATATAATAATATGGGCTTTAAATTATTTGAATATACTTTGAAATAGTATTTTAATATTATTTATATATTACACTAATCTCAAAGTAGATACAAACTGTAGAGAGAGAAAAAAAAGTGTGATAATTATTTTTTATTTTTCATTATTCTACAAATTGTAGTTATAACTCTATTTGTATATTTTATAAGCAAGAAGTAAACTAAGGAAATTAAAATTAAAAAAAGGATTACATAGGGATGTCAATTTTTGACACGACTCGAAACACGACCCGAACCCGACCCGGAAAAATCTGGGTTCAGGTCAACCCGAACCTGAAACGGGTCGGGTTCGGGTTGAACAAATCAACCCGTTTTAAAATCGGGTCAGGTTCGGGTTGACCAGCAACCCTAAATTGACACGAAAACTCATATTTGACCCGAAAACCCGAGATTGACCCGTTTTTTACCCGATTTTGACCCTAAAATCGAATATTGACCCGATTTTGACTTGAAAATTTGCAATTTTAGGTCAACTTCGGGTCATTCGTGTCAGGTCGGGTTGACCCGGACCCGAATCGGGACGGGTTCGGGTCCAGAAACCTGACCCATTTTTAAAAACGGGTCGGGTTCGGGTTGACCTGAACAGTGCCGGGTCAGTTCCGGGTTCGTCCCGAACCCGACCCGCTGACCCGAATTGACACCCCTAGGATTAGAGATAGCTAATCAGATTGTTACAAGTTACGACTATCATTGCTTTTAATTAGTTTTTTTGTGCTAGAAAGCTATTTTCTACATTCACTTTAAAAAAATTTGTTTTATCCACAATTGCTTTACAATCACTTTTATAAAAAATTACGGTCGTTCCACACAGACCCTTTAAAAGTCGATTAATTATTATGTGCGGACATCAAACACTGTCCGGAGACCAACCATAATGTGCCACGTCATCTCTTGCTCGATACCACAATTCGGTATTGCTGACATGGCGCATTCTAATTGGCCTCCGAATGACTAGTTTTAGGGAACCCCAAAGATCTTAATCTATCATAGAAGAATTAAGGGTTGATATCATTAAAAGCTTTCTTAATGTGAATTTTATAATAGATGTATTTAGGTTGGTGGAATAGGTGAAACCAAGAAGTAGTTCATTGAAAAGAATGATATTGTTGGCTATAACCCTTCCAATAATGCATGAGTTTGAAATCAACAAATTTGCAAAGACAATGAGGGATACCAAAAAAAAAAATTTCTCAATAATTTTGATAAAGTTAGATGGAGCAAGAGACTCTAGTAGCATTCCCTTTAACGCAAATGTGATCATTGGAAGATGGTTGAAAGTTATTATAGCTCTTCTCTTTAGAAAAAATATTGAACTTATCTCATAGTGAAAGTGTCACAATCCAATTTTATATGACCCATAAATACGACCGGTAATTAATATCATTGTGTGGTGACAGAGCAAGTCAAATATCTAAGTTTTGGAAGGATTTCAATTTTTTAAAAAATTTAAAACGAACTATAGAGCCACTAATTAGCTTCCAATTTAAAGAAAATAATTTCATACATAATTCTTTTCTTTTAATTCATCTTCAAAATGTATATGTTTACAACATATTCTATACAAAAAAAAGTACATTTCTACAGATCATAATAAAATAAAATAGAATTAGTCATGACTGTAAAAAAATTAGAAAAGTACCTATATTGACACAAACATATCAAACCCTACAACCTCAACTACTCAATAAGCTCATTCCTGTTTTCCTGGCCTAAAATAGGAACAATTATTACGTCCTCCGACCAGATGCAGAGAAGCATCCGGTCAACCGAACCAAATAAAAATTCCTAAAATAGAATGCATAATAGATGTGTATGAACAACTCAATAAGTCACACATATCGACCTTAATTTTTATGATTAACCCATTATGCATTTACTTATTTTAAAAGTAGGTAATAACAATTTAATGAACAGAGAATAATATTGCTTGCAGATGACTCAAATATAACAGACTTTGTATTGAATTTAAATATATAAGTACTTCATTTATCGGATATTATTCAAAATTTTATTTTGAAACTTTAATTATACTATAGTCTTAGATTTTTTGGATTAAAATTATTATCTAATTTGATAAAAATAGTGCACTTTTCAAACTAACAGGTAAAATTTTTATAAAAAATACTTAAATATTCAAAATGATCATATCTACAATATACAAAAAGTTACATGTTAAAAGTTTAAAGGATACAAAGTTATCCTCGTTTCTACATTACAAATTTATAATTTAAATAAGAAAATCTCAAAAATTTTGTAACTTCTGAAAATTGAGATAAACATGATGTAACCACCTCAATTCGAATAATTTTTTGATCTAGGCCGACAACAAAAAATGGACCTAAGTCTCCCAAATCCCAACTTTCACTCTCTAAAATTCTCTCCTCCCTCTAGTTGGTTGTTTGAAGAGGGGTGGAATTTTTTTGAAAAATAAAAATGTGTGGATTTTGATATTTTTATTGAATTTGGATATAGCATCATGATGTCCAATCTCAGCTCTGTAGTGTTCCATATTTTTCCAAAAATATAGAGAACTCAAGACCGCGGCGCCTTTTCCAAGGAAAAAATTCCATATTTTTTATTTCACGAACAATTTTAGATTTTTACATGCATAAAGAATATTCAAAGACACATACAAGAAGTATTAATATAAAAATTCCATTACATTACCCTTACCAATTACCATGGTCATAACAGGTGCAATTGCACACTGCTTCAGTGGGTAATATAGAAAGAATAATATAAAGAAGAGATACAGAGTTTAATTTAAAGAAGATAAAAAAGGCCAACCATGTGATATTTTTCAAAATTTCTACAATTAATTATTCCACCATTGTCATTTAAACCCCTCACATTCCAAAAAAGAATATTGGGAAATGACACACTTTATTATAAAAAGGAATGGACAACTCCTTATTGTCTGTCTTTTTTATTTTTAGTGGAGAACGGTTGCATATTATGAGCGTGAATTGCACTATAGAGTTTTTCTTATCTAATATAGAAGGGTTGTCAGATGCCTAAGAAGGAGATGCCAATAAACTGGCAGAGCAGTGGGCAAGGGAGAAGTTATTATTAGCCAAATCATTAGAGGTACCTTCAAACTTAGAAAGAGAAGAGCGAGCAAAAGATTGGGATATTTAGATTTAGAGCAAATGCAAAGGAAACACTAATACACTAATATGGGAAGAGAGGACATGTTTGGAATGGTTACTCCTTCTACACATACTACCTCTATTTATATTTTCATTTATATTGTGACAAAAATTAATTGAAGGCTGAGTGTGAGTTATAAAGTTTTAGGGAATTGGAGTAATTAGAATCATCATGAGCAAAAGTATCACAACCAACATAAGGAGAGAATCTTCAATTTTTGTTCAATATCTTGTCCTATTATTAGTAGTACAATGATATCCGGAAGAACTGAGGTTCTAGAAACTTGCACGCTCATCCTACAAAATGTCAACTTGGATCTATTAGCCATGAGAGGGTCAAAAGTAAGAGTACCAAATTCATTGCCAATATTTGAAATCCTGATTTTCAACCAACAACACAATGAAAAATTAGGAAGCATAGCCTATATCGAAACATCCTTGAAGTCCTCTTTGATTGGTTTGACGGGTTGTAAAAACTTGCACACTCACTAATGAGAAAAAAAATGTTCTTTCATTTCTAAATCACAAGCTACCATTGTTAACCATTTTTAGAACTTCACTGTAAAGAAACTTAAATATAAAAAGAGTCATTTGCATGATAGAGTAACTCAAATGTGCCTCATAGCTTCCATAACTTACTAACCACTTCAAGAAGTTACCATAGAAAGGTCATCTATCAAGAGCATAGCACATTAGAGCAAGATTCTATAGTTTGGTTCCTTCATCATTTTCTTCATATAAGAAACATGTTTTACCTTCTTGACATAAGATGTAGCTCAACAAGAAGTTGGAGTTGGGAACACATGAGGTAAGGAGGGCGATTAGTAAGTGGCTTGGGAGGGTGACTAGGAAGTGGCTTGGGTTCAAGAAGAGAGGAAGAAATAGAGAAAGATAGATGATGGGAAAAATCTAAGTTATCACAAATAAAGGATGGGCGGGTCCTTATTCCTCCAAAAGGAGATGAGAGAAATCAAAGATGAGAAAAGCATGACTAATAAGCA